TAGAATATATAATGAGTGTAACAGAGATAATTATATTTAGATGGATGAGTGGAATGACGAGAGAAAATAGGATAAAGAACGAGTATATAAGTGGTAGTATATACATGGCTTCTAAAGTAGATAAAAGGAGACAAAAAATATTGAGATGGTGTATGCTTGTCATGAGGAAAGAGGAATCGAAGCAGTAAGGATGATAAGGAAAATAAACGTAGGAGGAAAGAAGAGATGAGAAAAATTGTTAAATAGAGGTGACGGTTGGGTATGATTGAGAATGATATAAGGGCATTTAGCTGACCCCAAATAGTTGGGATGAAATCGAAAGAGACGAAAACGATAAAGTTGGATAAGGGTGGGCACCGATCCACTCAATTTCCAGATCCCCGTATCCCCCGGGATTATTATTAACAGCTCTGTATATTATTTCAGTTCTTCGAGCCAGTTTGGGCTATATCATTTTTCCGAGGTAAACTTACTACCCGCAATATTTCATAGTGCTCACGTGGTATCGAATAATTATAATTTTTCGATCCACCCGAAACGAAATTTAACGTTTCCCGAGTTTTACATAATATTATCACGGTCGAAATAATAATAATACACTCGCGTGGTTGAATTATTTCGGTAGGTATCCTAGCTACCTGCCTACGAATTCTTCGGAGGGTTGCTCGGAATTTCTGCCAAGTAGTTCACAAACATTTTACTCGCCCGAGAGAACTGGGACGTTTGCAAATATTCCATTATTCCTCCGATTTAAATAACTATTCAATCTCCGGACTATAATATGTCGGTACAGGACACTGTTTTGCGGCTATACTGTCGTAACTCGCAGTAGTAATTAAAAACGCAACACAATCGCACCGTACCAAAAATATTATGAATTAATAACTGACTATACGTAATAATAATTATCATAACATATGCTGCGTGATTTTTTTTACCCACAATCCATCCGTTTTTCGTGGATGATTTTTTTAGTATATTTTTCCCTCCAACCGTTCCGGAATTGTTTATGCGTTTTATATAAACACTATTTTAAAAGGTTTACCTCTACTCGTCATACCTTTAAAGTGGTATTAATTTTTTATTTTCAAACGGCGCCGCGATGACCCTTTCCCTCTGTTTCCAATTCAGAAAAGAGAACATGATTTTTTTTTTTTTTTGAAAATTTTGGTACGTATAGCACGAACATATTTTATTTTTCGAATCCGTGTTTAAATACGGGAGTGAGACGAGATACAATAGCTGTTATATGGATATTTTAAACTCTTAAATTAATACGGGTTTATAGTTGATGATGGTGAAATTTTCAAAATATTGTAATAATAATTATAATTTAGAGAATTTAACAGTATTTAGAAATTATTAGAGATGTATTGCAATAGTATAATATTGTGTCCCGCAATATTGTGCAGACGATTAGGTCCATACAAATAAAACACTTGTACTTGGGTTTAAAGCGTATTGCATAATGTATTAATATTATAATTACATAGAAGATGTCATCTTTTGATTGAGATTTATCTATAGTATTTTTTTATTTTTTTTTTACTTATTGCATTGTTAATAATACATGCATGTTGTAAATTGTGGACAGACACTCTTTCCATGATTTTGTACGCATACAATATTTTATAAGTAAGAATACAATTTAAAAAAAAAAAAAAAAAAAATACAACTCGTTTGATTCGCATAGTAAACGTATATTTCAAATGATAATTATATACACGTATAATGTATGTAGTATAGCCATTTTAATTCGTTGATGTAATATATTCAGTTTTGAAATTTTGTACAAGTTTAAAAACCGAACGAATAATGTTTCTCTCGTTCGCAACAATAATTAGCAAGTCCTCGTGGAATGCGCATTGCTACCTATATTGTGTATATTATAAATTTTAATAATAATACACATCTATCTACATTTCAGAAAATATACGCGTGTAAATACGTACGTACTCCGGACGGGTATTTATGGGTACCCGTCAGTGTGCGTAGTACCTAACTATGCAAAGTAGGTAGGTATATGATTTGATTAAAAGGCAGAGAAAAACACCCGATCGAATTATCAACGAAAAATCTGTATCGCCTGCAGCGCCGTAGAGAAATATTGTGTGCCAACCCGGCAGGTACTCATGGTGTCAAAATAAGACTTTGGTTTTTTTTTCTTTCTAAATTCGTCCCGGGGGAAATACACAACATTCAAAATCAATGCTGAACCTCTGTTGTATATACGTACAGTATACACACATTATATAAAGAACACCTACCTCTATCGAAAATAAATCGCGGGAAATCAATTTAAAATCTGTAGGTACGTATCAATCGACTGCCGAACCCCCCGCCATCCTTGTATAAAACTCGTTTATTAATGCATGATCAACATCAATAAAATACTACAATAATTTGATTTGCTTTATCTCGCATTTCGCCGGTACGCGGTAAAAAAAAAAAAAAAAATCCTTACAAGGTGTGATAAAAATAAAATAAAATAATAATAATTGAAGGTAAATAATCCAATGACGTCATGCGTCTTTTACGATNATCCTTACAAGGTGTGATAAAAATAAAATAAAATAATAATAATTAAAGGTAAATAATCCAATGACGTCATGCGTCTTTTACGATAATTATTCGGCGCACTTGACAAATAACTAAAGACTATGAAGCGATAGAGACGAAAATACGGTAAATAACAAATTATAAACTGATAACTAATGAAGTAATAATCAAGTAGCGAGGAAAAAAACTATTATTTATAATTTTCATTAATTCATTGAAATATTTCAAAACCAGAACCCTACGCGGGCGGTTCGTGATTGTCCACAGAGATTTGGCCTGAACCGACTCAGGTTTCGAGATGAAGTTGACTATGTTAAAAGTCTATACGGGAATGTCACGAGTTAGCATTTGTCACATTCAGGATATTAGTAGATACCAATAAATTGGCGATTATTGGCAGAAATTTCTTCTTGGAACACACTGTATATTAATATTCTATACTCTTGAAAGACATCTTACTGTCAGAAATCGCATAGTGGAACACAAGGTATGCAGTGACGTGGCATAGAGTCGTCAGAGGTGTAAGCAATCACCAAAAATTATACCAACCTATACCTGTACCATTTTTGTTTACTACACCTAGAAAACTGCTCTGAATTTATACTTTATAACAATTAAATAACTCCATACTTGTGATTTTACCCCTAAAAATATATCAAAAATTATTGGTTACATAATATATATTAATAACAATATTTATATTTTTAATAAATTAACACTTGATTAACAATTACATGTTAGATAATTTTAAATAACAAACAAAATAATATTTTAGATTCTAAGTGAAGCAAAGAAGCTTATAGTTTTACAGAGATGTTAATTTTTTTTTTTTTTATCTGTGAACAACTTTTCTTCTAGTAATTTCGCTCCAGCTTTAAATGCCAGAAATGTTTCCGAAAGGAAATTTCACAAGCAAGGTACTTTAAAGAGGTCATTTTTTGATTTTCTTAGAAGTTTTCTCATCAAACTTGAAACAACGAAAAAAAAAACGGAAAACTGTAGAAATGTAGGTATTAGTTAAAATATACTACGCCCTTCATTTTTTCTGTGCACAACTTTCCTACCGGTAATTTCGCTCCAGCTTTTAGTGATAAAAATGTTTCTGAAAGGAATTTTTACAAGCTAGGTATTTTAATGAGGTCATTTTTTGATTTCCCCGGGAATTTTCTCATCAAATGTGATAAACCGGTATAAAACAAGGGGAAATCGGGAAAAGAGTAGGAAAAGTGGGGAAATCGACACGACATGAAACAAGTATTATTAAAGAAAATGTATAAAGCCCATTTAGCCTATTCTACTATAAAACGGCATAGATATTGTTAACAGAGCATCACTATCAGCCGAACCCCGCTCAGAATCGTTTTTTCGTAAGAAATGGTTTATGATCGCTCGCGGGTATACGTTAAATAACCCGTGACGGACGGCCGACGCCGTCCCCATTGTTCCCGGACGTCTTAAATTCTAATATATATTTTACAAGTTCGCATAGAAAGACACCTCGATTACATATGATTTACAACCTACAAATTAGATACTAAACGTATTGATTATCGTCCGGTGACGGTCGAACAAATGTAATACAACGGCGTCGATTAATATTTAAAACCGCGTAACGCATTCGATAGTAGCTCGTACGTATGCTTATGCGTCCGGTACCCATAGACCGATTCCAATGCAATCGCTTCATTAGGCGCGCTATAAACCGTGTAATAGTCCCGTTTACGAAACAGTAAGGCCGTGTTCTCACCAAAAGCAACTGATGACGGCGACGCAACGCGACATGTATTATTAAATTGACGTGTTCTCACATGTCGCGACCGGACTGGAAAACAACTCAACTGTTTGAAAACTATTTTTGAGCGGCTCGACGCGTCAGTCTCTCTGTCTAGTTGCTAGTGTGAATAGTTGCGATTTTGTGAACATTTCAATTATTTGATTATTACTCTGGTCTATAATAAGGTACAATCAATTTAATATTTTGTTAATAATTTATTTAAGATGGCAAATGAACAAGCAGAAAACATAGGTTTCGTACAACATATAGAAAGTCACCCATGTCTCTATGATATAACATCATCAAATTATACTCGACGAGACATAAAAGAAAAAGCATGGAATGACATTTCAAAAAAAAAAACGAACAATCATCCTCATCGGATGAAGACATTTTGATAACTGAATATGCATTGAAGTTGCATTGAAGTTTCATATTAGTTTCGTATAAGAGAACAACTAGGCAACTCAACTAAAACTAGACTTGAATCTTTATCGCGTTGCCGTCATCAGTTGCTTTTGGTGAGAACACAGGTTAAAGCGCATTGGAATCGCCGACGCACAGTGCGCCGTCCGACGTGATATTATTTATCGTACGAGGATTGTCCCAAAAGTAATGCACAATTTGCTCCGAATAAATAAGTTTTTATTTTAAACTAAATACAATATTATAGACCTTCGATATAATCTCCCTGCTTGTCTATACACGATTGCCATCGTTTCGGGAGCGCTTGAATGCCGCATAGGACGCCATCTTTGTTGAGTCCACGGATCCTTCGGCTCACTTCTTCATTTAGTATATCTAAGTTGGGAAAACGGATCCCTCTAAGTGGTTCCTTCAGTTTTGGAAATAAATCAAAGTCCGGGAGACTTAAACCCGGCGAATACGGTGGGTGTTTGAGGCGTTCCCANTATGGACACACCATTTTGTAACATTCCTGGTCGCTTTTTACGGATTTCTGGTCGCGATTTTCAAAACCTGTTTCATTCTCTATCTCTCTCACCGTTATTCGTCGGTCTTCATCGAGTAGAGTTGCGAGAATAGCCGCGTTAGTGTTGTCTTGAGTAACCGTAGAGGGTCGGCCAGAGCGAGGGTTGTTATCAATACTTATACGACCATCACGGAATCGCTGATGCCATCTTTGCACCGTACTACGATCCACAGTATCCGTTCCACACACTTCATTTAACGCGGCATGAATTTCAGGCACTGTTTTACCACGAATCGTTTCGATTTTAATGTATGCGCGTTGTTCAAAAACAGAAACGTGAGCCGACGAATTGTTCTCACTTTCGTTATCGCTCTCACACATCATCATACTTTACTGAAACAACTAAAACTGAAAACGCACGTGTTCGTTAGACTTCAAGCTACAAACTGATACTAAAATCAGCTGATAATATCACATTGCAAGACAGCTAGAGCGCGCTGTGCATTAATTTTGGGACAACTCTCGTATATTTATAAATATACAGATAAAATACGCAATGGTAGAACAGAAGCACCGGACGGCGGCGGCGGTTCGGCGGACGTTCGACGGAGTATTTTCGGCGCGGACTACCGGCACAAACGCGTACGACGCGACCGGAACGACCGAAACGCAAGAAACGAACGATAACGTTCGTTTTTTTTTAAAAAACACCGAATTGCAAAAGACAATAATATATAAGAACGTGAATAATAACGCTGTCGACGAAACGTAACGATAACGAACAATACGATAATATATTCGAATCACGCGTTATCGTTATTCGGTCTCGATCGTTGAATTTTAAATTGTCCGTTTTTAAAAATATGCCCACAAACTTTTACAACCGATAGCGTAAGACTGCCACTTACGCTGCTTACATACGCGCCACGCCACCGACTGTGTGTCGGTATCAAATGCTCCTGAAAAATATCCCATCGTCTCATCTGGCAAACCGTTAATTTAACGGTGGCGTTAATGGTTTTGTTTTTCCTGTTTTTCTTTTTTTTTTTTTTTATTCAAACTTTTTCCGTCTATATTATTTTATGATTATCGTCTTGAATTTTTATTTCTCGGGTCTCGCTATTATTACACGCTAAACGTTAATGTTCTCGCGGCCGGTGTAAGGTGTGCACTGTGTATTTATACAAGACCACTTCAATAATAATAATAATAATATTAAAAAATACTCGAGTTTAAAAAATTCTAATGAAAATGAACAAAGGGAAACAATGCGGTTTTTCGTATTATTTTTATTTTTAATATTATTATTATTCCGTCAAAAAAAAAAATTACACGTGAAACGATGGGTAGAGGGTGGGTATGGCAGTGTTGTTCATACCTCTATCCTAATGTACCGGGGATAAAGACGAATATCTGACTATAATATTCCGACAAAAAATAATAATAAGAAAAATAACAATCCCAACGTTTCAGACAATTTACATCGTCGTCGTCATTACCCCAACGAAATCCACTATATCAACCGTAAAAAGAAACACTCATTATTATTATTATTATTATTTTTTTTTTTTTTGAGACCTCCGTTTCCTCGCCGTATATCCATTATAACAACGATCGAAGAAAAAAAAAATAAAAGTAAAATAATAATAAAATGATTGCGAACGTTATTAAAAAAAAAAAAAAAAAACTACAATAATAATTATTATTGTATTCTTAAACATTTTTATTTGGTGGCGCGGTGGATTATATACGTATAGATTCCGAGAGCGGAAAGAGTCCGGGAGCTATATAATATTGTTTTTTTTTTTTTTTTTTTTCACAACGACGATATGGTGGTTGCGACCTTTTTTTCATTTATATCGAAAAATACATTTTCGGTACAATAATAGACTAGGGAAAAAAATAAATATAATGTATAATGTATGTATTATATATTTTATTATCGATATTTCCAGTGTTCTACCGTATTATGGATGACGGAAGCGTACACACGGTTTATTAATATTATAGGCCCGTCGCGTCATTAACTACGTACGAGTATTATATGTTATGTGCCAGAAGGTTTTCCGAACCAAATGTCTAGGTATTCGCAGCGAATTTCGCGTAGGAACGGTTTTTCTTTTTTTGTATCATTATTTTTATAAATGAAAACGACGAGGAAAAAACTGTTTTTTTGGAAGGGTGACATTGAGGGAACCGACCACCTCCCTCTCCTCGAAATCGGTCTGAGTTATACAACACTATATCACATAATTACATATACAACGTTATGATAGAATTAGAACACCGTATATTTTTAGTTTACCACTCCCCCCGCCCCCTCCCACGCAAAATTATGTTCCAGTTATGGCTTCGGTACTAAACATAATAGGCGAGAGCGGCGTTAGTTGATACGATTTTTACCATTTTAGATTCCGTGCGTAGCGAGGGAGCCATTGGTTTTACGATGCTGTTTATTTATTTCTTTGTTCTAGTTTGTGGGCACGTTTTTTCTCAGTAAACTTACTTCGATTTTTACATGTTACGTCTTAAGTTGTCTTGATGATATTGTAAAAGGTCATATTTTGATTTTCGATGCCATTTTTTAAATAAAAACACTTAAGTGGGAAAAAAACGTTTTATAAAAACACGGACGACGGTTTCTACCGGAAAAAAAATGATTTAATCGAAAAATCACAAGATACCTTTTTTGTTGCCTTCTTGATTTAATTTCTTACGGGATCATCGACAAAACTTTTGAGCCACTTTTAAGCTTTTAAGGAATTATAATTTTTGCTTTAATTTGATTACAAATACACGTAGAGACTTGGCATTAATACTTATATTAGACTTACCTAGATTTGGTGAAATTTCTGAAATCATCGGACGACTTTTTTTTTTTTTTTNGAAATTCCCCCCCCCCCAATAAAAATACGGCATTTCAAATTAGGTATTACCGAGCTGCTCTCGGAATCGTCTTTCGTCAAGCAATGGTTTATCGTTGCTTACAGATATAAATGAAATAACCTAATGTATCCTACCTTCCCAACTTCTCACCCTACAACTGTGGCCGCTCTCATCCCCAGTATCAGCACTTTTTTCTTTTATCATTTCCATAAAGATGGTTAGCACATTTTTTCGATCTATACATCATGGCTACATCTTGGCAGAAATTTGAATTGAATTTAAACATAATTTAATTATACACATTTATATTGAATGTGATCAGTCTACGAATATATATGCGCTACATGTGATAAGAATAATCTACAGTTACCTTAGAACGCGGCGGATTGTACGAGCATACGTTGTTGTAAAACGAGATAGTTTTACAACAACACATTTACTTGAAAGGTGAACGGAAAACGTATAAGAAAAAAATTCGAAAATATCGACGAAAATAAGTACCCAATTATTTTCCTTGTTTAAAAAAAAAAACCGTTTACCCGGAAATCTTTTTGTTTTTCCCCTTATTAAATTATGTTCCGTCACGCTTTAATTATTAAAAAAAAAAAAAATCCCTTATTAATTGTACACGCGAATCTCGTATTCTCCGCGCGTAAGGAAATTTCGTAAAAAAAAAAAAAAATAATAATAATAATAATAAAATAACTCTTTCGTTCGTTATTCGCGCGCGTAGTACAATGCGCCGCAGCTGCGATTTCGACGATGCCGTTTTGTGTAATTATTCAGTTTCCCGCGCAAATAGAAATTATACCGTGCGACAAACGGGCGTGTTCAAGTCCGGCGAGAGGCACAGGCGACGCCGGCTTACGTCTGGAGCGGCACTATGCGAGGGGTGGCATTTTATTCGTGTGAGCAGGACCCGCAGACCAGCGTTGAAACCGAAAACCTGTTTCTCGAATTACCGACGAGAAGAAAAAAAAAATTAGGTTAATATTATTCAATTGAAATTGTTTTAAACAATGGCTGATACCCGGCGATTAATGAAATTTAGCCACAGTTGAAACGGTAAGCGCCACGAGTACAATTGTACTTGTTATTGTACCGTAATTAAACTTAATACCAATATAACCGTATATTATTATGCTGCACACAAAACATCAACTATCCACGTAGGTACATTGATGATATTATTGTTATGGATATGAGTCAGCCGGTATCTACGGCGAGCACGACTCGTCCTTTAAGTTAGAAGGGTGGTGGTGGGTGCCGGGCTCCTAAAAATGTTTTACGGCAAAATAAGTCGCCCCGTGGGGGGAACACAATTGTCGCGGCGCAGTTGTGAGTTTTAATTGAATTATGAATTTTCTAGAAAAACGGCGAGTAAAATTTAGATTGATTAACAACAAATGCACGGAAATTCTTTTGTTTTGCTCGGATTCCGTAAAATGTATAAAACGTGTATTGTACATGATATTGATATTCGACATCAAAAAGAAATTATAACCGCGAAATTGAATTGTTTAGGAATAAAGAATCGCGCTCGGTTTGTCGGTAATATTAATTCCGAACTCTGCGTTGTTTTCCTTCGGTGGTGCCACGAACACCGTTACGAAACACGTACAAATCGTTTCCCCGGGATTTTCACAGCGTACAACACCCACGCTGTTGCGTGTTTGTATCCGTACCGTTTTTCGCGAGAGAAACGTAGTGTCGGTCCGCGCACGCAGACCGAGCTCGCGGATCGCTCGCTACCGCCTCCGGTCGTCGACGGCGGTCCGCGAAATTACACGCGCGGCCCGACGGCGGCAGGGAGCCCCGGGCCGCGCGTGGACGCGTACGAACGACCGGTTTTCGTCGGGACCCTCTGCCGTTCTTCCGCGAGAAACGGTACAGTATTACCGTGCAGTATTATCTCTCTCCGCGCGGCGTCCGTTCGGAAATGTATAATTTTTTTTGTTTTATTCATTATTATAGAAATACACAATCTGTTCGTCGAGGAACAATAAGAATACGTGATAAACGAGAAAGATAAGAACATGACGAATTGACGGGAGGAGTCGCCCAGTGGTAACACTGCCCTAACTTATATGGTTTTTTTTTCTTTATTTATTGATATTGCTTTTTTAATCAAACAGTGAGGAGGTCTCGACACCGTCGGAAACGTTATAATTTAAAAACGGATTTAAACGCATAACGTAAATCGTCGGGTGTTTTCGCAGATAACTGTGCGCCGAACACTCGCTCGCGTCACGGCACGTTGACCGGTATTTTATGAATATTTTTTTTTTCGCTATGCGCACCGTCCGTTATTGAGCCATTGTCAATCATTTACGCGGCGCGTGATTTTGATAACAATTGTTGCACGTTATAACAGCGGGTGTCGGTAACGCGCGTCGGGATGTTCGTGGTCGGTTCGTTACCGTAAAACGTACACGTTGGAATGCAGTTAAATAGTTTGCAGTTTATTTGGACATTACAATACAACGCGACACGGGAGCTTCCGTAATGAAAGTATAGATTTGTATACACGTATATGTGTATTGATTAACATAGTCGGAATAACATTTATTTGAGTGGGGTGTTTTGTAGTTACGAACGGAATATTACCGTGGTGATTACAACTGATAGGAACCCGTTTTATTATCTATTCTAAACGAGTAATAATAAAATATGCAACGAGGTATTTATGCGTTCTCTAGGAACCGCCTTTAATTGCGATGCGAACGCGTAGGCGTGATTCGCGCACGCCGGGCGATGGACGGGAATGGCGGCCGCTTCCCGCGTATGAAAATACGGCAAAACCGGGAGGCGGCGGCGGCGGATCGCTCGCCAGTGGCGTGTTCGTTGTAGTAGTGGTGTCCGCGGACTGCTGCGTGGACCGCTGCCGGACGGCGGCGCGAATCGGAGCTCGGTGGGCTGCGGCTGCGGCTGCGAGTGCTGTCGCTCGGCGACGGGCGCGGCCGAATGGGACCTGTCGAACTACACAACCGTTTCGAACTGTCTTTTCTACTCGGTCGTTTTGAAAAACTGTCGACGGCCGAAACCAGCCGGTGCTACTGTCGAACGGAAACCATGCGCTCTCGGGCATTCGAATGAATTTGTTCGTTCGACAGTTCGCAAGACGGCCGACGGGCAAAACTGTCTGTTCCGTCGGCAAGTCGAAACTGGTCGGTTACTGTCGATCAGTCGGCCGAGTCTTTTCGCGGCGCGGACTCGCGGACTGTTTCCGTTTGTTTGGGTAGTATCTTCGTGGGTACACCGCGAGGGTTTGACGGTTCGCCTATTTCGTGACTAGGTTGTTGCGGCAGGTGCGAACTATCTTTTAATTGGTATTTTTATTTTATTATTTTTTTTTTTTTTCAATAATAATTATCGAAAATATTTTCAAAACGCTACGCGTTTTCAAATTACTGAAAGTATATGTTATTTATGAGTAACTGATTTATAAGTAATTGCACGCAATTCTGTATTTACGTTAATTATATAAATCGTGTTTGATGCCTGTTATTTTCTAAATTTTAAATCGGAATCGTTTTAATATTAATAGCGTTTGTGTGTCGGACCTAAGGATTTTTTTTTTTAGATTCTGAGTGGACCGAGGAATGTATTGGTTTTACAACGATGCAATTTTTTTTTTTCGAACAACTTTTCTTCCAGAAATCTTCCGATTATCAAGTATAGCACCTTTACTGAAATGTTTTCTGGGTGGTACTTTTCGGAGGTAATTTTTTGAAATTCTCATTAATCTTCGAGATAATGAGGAAAACCTGGTTCATTAGGTTAAAAACGATTGAAAAATTAAAATTAAGGCTGTCATCGGCAACCGTTTATATTTATTTTTTGTTATTATTTTAAACAATCATTGTTGTCGTGGAAACGCACATTGTTATAATCGTTTTATCGTAATATGACGTATAAACTATTGATAAAATAACACTACCAACTGAATTCCGTTCAGATACGTTTTTTCGTTAACGATGGTTTATCGCTACTTACAGATTTTAATGCGTCCAATACATTTGAATTCCCGTCTGTATCCTACCGTAACAACTTCCCATCTACAAAAGTGGCTGCGCACCTGCGTGCGAAGTATGTCTGCCTTTCGTTTTCCGTTGTCGTATACATATTTTGGCTCTGATTTTTATTTTTATTTACACTATGAACCGATACATATTATTGTCGCGTGGACGTAATTTTGTCGGATGTTTATCGTGTCTGTATAAAAATAAAAACTGAAAAAAAACGTTTTTTATTTACGTGCCCGTGAAAAACACCGAATCCCGTAAAATTATAATATCATTGTCAATACTGTACGCTCAACGCACGCTGACACGCAACGATAACAAATATACAATATATCCTTTATGAATACCTACTGAAAAACGAAAAAAACGCTCGTATTATAATTTCGAACAGGCGAAGTGGTTAATTATTTCCGTGTATTCCCAATTATTATAGACGCATACGCCAAATACAAAACGGCAGCCTCTCCTCACACTCTGTCTCTCTCGTACGCGCTCGTTTTTTTTTTTTTTTTTAGTATGCGTGTTCTATGAGGCGAATCAAACAATAAAATTACTTATGTGTTATATTATTATTATTGTTCCGCCCAGAAATTTCCAAAAGGTAACTTCAAACGGACATTCTATCGCGATCCGATCGATTCCGCTATATATGAAAATAAAAAAAAAAAACAACATCATACCCAATAATACGCGTAGCACAGTGTACGCGTATTATTTATGTATTTCTCCGGTCGTTTTTTTTTTTTTTTTTAAACTATTATTTTATATTAATATTATGAAATATAATATCACGCAGCGTCGCAATAATATAATCCGCGGGTGTAGATTCTTTTTTCTGTATCACGATCCAGCGATTTTCTCGGAACATTTTACGTACGAATTTGATTTCTGGTTTTTATTTATCTTAGATTTCGAGCGTAGCGAGGAAGCTATTGGTTTTACAATGCTGTTTATTTCTTTCTTTGTTCTAGTCTGTGGACACGTTTTTTCTTAGTAAACTTGCTCCGATTTTTACTTGTAGCATCTTTTCTGAAAGCCTATGTTGTCTAGATTGTACATTAAAAAGTCCTTTTATTTTTAAATAAAAGCACTTAAGTGGGAAAAAAACGTGAAAAAATGTACAATTTCACGATTTCATTATTATATAAAAACACAGATGACGTTTTCTATAAGAAAAAAATGATGAATCGAAAAATCACAAGACACCTTTTTTGTTGCGTTTTTGATTTAGTTTCTTACGGGATCATCGACAACACTTTTGAGCGACTTAAAAGCTTTTAAGGAATTTTAATTTTTGGGAGTTTTTTTATTATAATTTGGTTTCAAATAGGCATAGAGACTTGAAACTAGGTCATAAAAATTGTATTGGACTTATCTAGACGTGGTAAAATTTCCATAATCATCGGATGACTTTTTTTTTTAAATAAGCGTTTTAAATCAAGTTCAAACGAAAATCGCAAAACAAATTACGACATTTCAAATTATGTATTACCGAACTGCGCTCGGGATCGTCTTTCGTCAAGCAATGGTTTATCGTTGCTTACAGATGTAAACGAAATAACTTTATATATCCTATCTTCCCAACTTCTGACCCTACAACAGTGGTCATTCCCATTCCTAGAATCATTCCTCAGTGTTCCCTATTTTTTTTTTGTATTTTGGCTTTTATAGGGACGGAATCGTAAAGGGACAAAATTTACCTGACCCACGCGCAACATAACCAATTTGCATTGAACAAAACGAAACTTGTGATGTCAGCTTAAGCATCAGAGTGGAAAATATTAAAAGTTAGCACTCATATTACATATAATAAGATACAAAAATAGATGGTTTAACTATAATACCACTATGTCTCAAATGGTTAAAACGAAATATCAGAGTTTTTTTAAATATTATTGCAATATCTTATGCAGACAATCGTAAAAAATCAGAAACACGAATAATTTTCTATACTTGAAGATTTTTAACCGATTGATTCGCATTAATACTTAAGCTAAAAACGCCAGATTGTTTCTGCTAAACGCGAATTCGCTATGTTGCGCGTGGGTCAGAAATTGAAAACAAATACACTTAAGCTTTACCGTATATATTCAAACGATAGATGTCTACAGAAATAAATACCTAATAACTTTTGACGTCCAAATGTCCACTCCCGTATCATTTCCGACAGATTTAGAATTCTCAACTTTTCCCCGATATACCGAAATTGTGCAATGTACTCGTTACATTATCGTATCATATTTAACATTAATTGGCTATTGTATTTTCAAGTGAAAAAAATATTATACGCTATAACGTATGTGTATTTAAATCGGATGCCTTTGGATTGATGGCCCCTTCAATTTTCTATAGTTTTCGTCATGCTGAAAGAATTCCCTGAGCAACTACTATAACTACGGATTGCGAAATACGAACTAGTCCCGGGGCTCTTAAATTCCTACTGCTATATGCCGCTGGATATAAAAATGTTGATGCGCTCAACACTATATTATGCCGTTTACGGTTTCTTCAGAGCTCGCAGTTTAAAATTTAGACCGGCGGTGTAGAGAAGGGTAAAAATAAACTTTATATCCATGTTTAAACCGTTCCCGTTATTGCTCGAGATTGGCTATTGCTATTCGAAAATTAAATGTGAAAATGACGCGTTTGGTAAGCGTACCGGGAAATCAGGATACAAATATTTTAAAAACGCGATTGTCAATTAAAAATGATTCTGTATAAAGACCGGAAAAAAGCGAAAATCGATTTTACTCGAAATTTTCGCATTAGGTCATATGTACAGGGTGATTATATTTATTATGAACGAGCAATTTCCCCGAGGGATATTAAGTGAATTTAATTTCAGTATTTTTACTATCCATTGTGGAATCGTTTAAGCTTTATTTTAAAACTATTTTTAATCTTTTACCCCCACTATAACGTATATCTGTATACGCAACGATTAACTATTGTTAACGAAAAAACGATTCTCGGCAGAGTTCGGTATTACATTTACTCAACGGCCGTAATACTAACGGTTTTAAAATAATACATTTCGTAAATTCTCCCGTTTTTCCGATGTTTTTTTTTTTCGATTGTTCCCCCTTTTTATAACGAAATCCCCTGGGAAAATCAAAAAAAATCATAAAACTCGCTGCGCTCAGAGTCTAAAACAAAAATATGCGATTTATTCCCCCCTATTCCCTGTTCCTCCGGGCTAAAAACTACTTCAATCTACAACTCGTAAACGGTTAATCTGATATGGGTGTTGCGCGTATCGAAATTTCGAGAAAAATAGTCTCCATCCGGATCTGGGTGAAAAACGGGGGATTTCCAATTTAAAAACAAAAGTATATACTTACATCAGGTGTATCTGCATACAGTAAAGATGAAAAATTTAAAATGGGTTTAAACCGTAGCTTAAACGATACCGGAATGATAAGAAAAACAAAAAAAAAAAACCGAAAATAAATTCACGTAATATCTTCCGAGAAAATTGCCGGTTCGTGATAAAACACAAAATCACACTGTATAATATGTATTATATTGTGCATGTATAGATAATCGCTGGTTCGTGATAAAAAAAAAAAAAATTCATCGTCCTGTAACATATCATCGTAACGTATAACGGAAACTATCGGCTACATTTCTCTGATAACGTTATTTCCCCGATTTTAAACTTTGTCTACGTACTCCACGGTATACAAATTACAACGCGTCGTAATAAACGGTACATTTTGTGTGCGCGACGCACCCGTACATTGAATTTTGTCGCAGACCGGTTGGGGGGAGGGGAGGTGGAGGTATTTTACGATATCGGCATTTGTTTGTATTTTTTTTGTTTTTTCACACTCGGACATTCGGCAATTGTACTACGTATCTGCGCGAAAAAAGCGGCGAGGATTTCTTTCTATTATTTGTATTATTATTATTTTTTTATTGTTTTCATTATAATGTATTATAATTATAACGATGCGTACCAAAAAATTAAAAAAACCCAGTGAAGTTAACACAACGCTGCGTTCTGTCGATTTCGAAAAATAACGCGTGCAAAACTATTTTTCAATGAATGTTTAAAAAAAAA